CACAGCGCCGCGCACGCCTCTCCCGGGTTTTGTATCCGCTCACACGCACGTTGACACCGATCCCTTCGCTGCACACGCCCGCCCCGCTCGCTTCCCACCCCACTTTCTGGAAGAATCCCGGGCAGCTTCCGCACTTTGCTCGCTTGCCCCGCGCCAGCCCCCCTCGCCCTGCCTTCTCCCAAACCCCACCGCGCTCACGCCGCCCCCGTGGGCGCCCAGCAGACGCCACCCCACCCCGCCCCCCTGCACGTGGGGCCCGAGATCCGCCCTCCGCGCTCCGCGCCGAGGAGCGCCGCCGCCGCCTACCCGCCGCACCGGCCGCCGAAGCCCGCGCTGCCCTCCGCGAAGGCAGCGGTGCTCAAAGGTCCACCGCGCTCGGCAGGCCGCGGGAAACTCGGAGGAGAGACAGTCTCGGGGCTGCAGCCAGCCCCCTGGGACCCGGCTCCCCAGCAGGGCCCGGCCCCTCCCCTGGGCTGCCCGTCGGCCGCGCGGGGCTCTCGGAGGACCGGGAGGATGGGGAGGACGGGGGCGACCGAGTTCCAAATCCACCCCGCGGGCGGCGCAGGGCTTTGCCTGCGTGGAGCGTATCCTGGGAGAGCGCCGGCAGTTTCTCAATCAGCATTCATGATGGAAGCACTTTGGAGAACACACCTCTGCCAGAGGCGGTCGTGTGAAAGGCAGGCAGCTCTCCAATGGAGTGTATTTTTTAAAAGATGATTTCTTAGCCCTGTTTTTGGTTTTCCCCCCCTTCTCCTTAGTACCGATGACGGTTTCTCAGCGGCTCCCCGGGTGCCAGAGCCCCTTAGGAAAGAGCACAGCACAGCCCCCTGTGCTGCTTCCCCTCCTGGGGGTTCGGAGAAGACAGAGGCGCAGGGATTCATCATTTGAAATAAAATACAAACACCTTTCTGCTAAAGTTCAAATTTGCTAACCCAATGTGCCCCCACCCCCGAGTTGACGAAGCCCAGCCGTCACCGACGAAAGGAGCTCCGTTTCTTACGTGGCTGGTGGTTTTGGCCCTTTAACCTCCTGGTCGCACTGTACAGCCGGACGGATCTTGTTTATTTAAGAAACGTCTGTGTTAACGTTTGACCTCGCCGAGCAGTCCTTTCAAGTGGGTGCTGTGCTGGTCCTTTTTGAAGGATAAAGAAAACGGTGCCCGGAAAGGTCAGTGAACTGATTTAAGATATTGGGTGTTGGGCTGCTAACCATAAGGCGGGCAGTTCAAAACCACCATCTAGAAGACATTTACGGCCTCGGTCTCCCTCTTCAAGTTCACTCGGATTCAGAATCAGCGTGGGATTCAGCTGCTTCGCACCGGTTTGGCATAACCCAAACCTCGTTTTGTGTTGAGTTGGGGGTGGGGGGCAGGTTGTTAGAGTGATAGGGGTTCTTTCTGAGGGGTTCTATCTAACTGGTGATAGGGGTTCTTTCTAAGAGGGGCGGCTGGGTAGTTGCCCAATGTGAAAATCACAAATTCACATTCCTTACCCTTTTTTAAGGTTCATCTGCACAACAACGCATTTAAGTGCCAGTCATCTAATGTTCACTCAGCCCACAGGGATACAAAAGTAGATGGAACTATGCGATGTTTTTTCAGTCACTCCATAGAACTCCCACTTTTGATGAAATAGCACATTTTCATTCCCTTGCCTTTGTTCCTTCAATAAACAACTATAAAACGGAAAGAGAAAAAGTACCAAACAACCAGGAGGGGGACACTCTGTAATTCATTTCAGCTTCCTGTGAGGCCCCACATTCCCAGGAGAGATAAGATGTTACTATTACGCGATTCCTGAGTGTTCAAAGAGGCAAAAATATTGTCAGAGCCATTGCTGTAAGTTCAACAGAAGCGGAAAGGGGTTTTTCAAAGGTGAACATAATATGTTCAGAGAAGAGAAGCCACCTGGTTCTAAAATATCGAACAGAGTGACTCGTTGGCTCACTGCTAAAAGGAATGGGATCCTGTTCCCCCGACAGTGCAAAGATGGTTAAGGAGAAGTCACACAGCCCCTGCTGCTCAAAGTGAGGAATAATGCAAGTGAGGACGCCAATAAGAAGCGAAGCAATATAGAAATACCTTAAAGAATGGTTTTATTGTTTTGTGTCAGATACTATTTAATATTTTTATTAATATTTTAAACCTCATAATTTAATTTTGTGTATCATTTTTATTGGTCTTATGTAAGCATTAACTGCATGAAACAATAAGCTACCTTTTGTTATATTGGGTTTTTTCATGCTTAAACAGTCATTAGGGCAGCGAACCAGTCGTTAAATTACTTGAATCCTACCACTGGTCAAAATCGACCCAAGTGGGGAACTTCTTTAGCTAGTTAGCAATGAGATGAGGGATTTGACTCTAGGTCAGTGGTTCTCAACCTTCCTAATGCTGTGACCCTTTCATACAGTTCCTCATGTGGTGGTAACCCCCAACCATAAAATTTATTTTCATTGCTACTTCATAACTGTAATTGTGCTACTGTTATGAATCATAGTGTAAATATCTGATATGCAGGATGTATTTTCATTGTTACAAATTGAACATAATAAAGCATAGTGATTCGTCACAAAAACAATATGTAATTATATATTGTGAAATGCTTATTTCTAGTTACAAATAAATGAAATTTTGTCTGGATGCATGGTGTAACATGGGTAACAGTCTTCACATGGAGTACTCATTTGTGGGCGTATCTGCATGTGGGTGGACCCGCCTGAAAATATGTGTTTTCCGATGGTCATTTGAAAGGTCCTGTGAAAGGGTCATTTGACCCACAAAGGGATCACAACCTACAGGTTGAGAACCACTGCCATAGAGGGTTTCCTAGGAGCCCTGATGGCAGAGTTGGTGGCTCATTGGGCTGTTAACTGCAAGGTCAGCAGTTCGAGCCCACCATGATGTTGGTGTGAATTAATTCAGTGGGTTGGTTTGAATATAGGGTCCCCTACTAACCCACCCCTGACATCGAGTTGATTCTTAGGCTCTAAATCAGTAGTTCTCAACCTGTGGGTCGCAACCTCTTTGCGGGTGGAACAACCCTTTTACAGGGGTCACCCGATTCATAACAGTAGCCAAATTACCATTATAAAGTAGCAACGGAAATAATGTTATGGTGGGGGAGGGTCGTCACCACAACATGAGGAACTGTATGAAAGGGTGTTGGCATTAGGAAGGCTGGGAACCACTGCTCTAAATCTTTACAGGACCAGATAGTCTCGTGTTTCTCCTGAGCATGATTGCAGCCTTGCAGTCAGCAGGCCAGTGACTAGCCCACAGCGACACCACCCCCCACCCCCACCCCCTGCTCCCTCTAGCAGCCTCAGACATGTGAGCAGAAAGGATAACCATCATCTGATGGTTGATTACATTTGTGTAGAAAAGGTAACTTGTAACCATTTGACATGAAATTTGATACACTTTTTAGGTTCCCCTGAAAATTAAATTCCTGAATGCTTTGGGGGTTTTATCCTCTATAATTAGAATTCCAGTGGGAGTGATAAGGAAGTTATTTGGAAAAAACTTAAACTTAGTCTCAGGTCTTTCTTTTACCACTGTCCAATCTTAATCATTGGACCGCAAATCTAACTTGCTGATGTTTTTTGAAATAACTTTCAAAAGCTGATGGCGCCTGAGAGAGAGGACAGCTTCAGAAGTCCGTAGATGGCCTTATACTTCTGAGGGGATTTCCTGAGGATAACTGAGATGTGTGTTTAGAGCAAAAACGTTAAATATTGAAATGATGGAAAACACTGAAGTGTAGGAGTGCAGGAGGAGCCACTGTACCACAAACCAGGTTGAGATGAATTCTCTACTAGGAATGAGGGCTTTGGCCCACAAGAAGGCAATTAGAAAGTAATTCTGAAGGAAAAACAGTCACCCTCCTGAAGAGATCCTAAAGATATAGGTACTAGAACAAAGTGTGGTGAAGAAACCAGATGGGACCCAGCTAGAGAAGGGTGTTTTAAAACAAGCATTCATCTAAGTGAAGCATCAGTTAAGTTCACATGGGAAGTTCATACCAGTCTGTGTGATCCAAGGACTGCAGATAATAACATCCAAATCTGGAAGGAGGGAATGGTATCAGACTTGTAATTGTGAACACCCAGTTTGAAGAAGGGTGTGAATGACAGAGGAAGCCCCAATCCATTTGCAGGGTCCCTACAAGGATCAAGCCAACAAAGCCCAGGGATGTGAACAACCTTGCTGTCAGACAGCACTGCAAGGTGGATTGTGCAGAAGTAGTTAGGTTAAGATATGCCACCTTATCATTTGATCTCCCTTTTGACTCTATAGTTTCGGTTTTTAATATTTTCTGCTTTTTTGATGGCGGTTTTTCTATGCTTTATCTCATTACTGTTGTTTTCCTCATGTCTGTGCTTTGTATGGTTTCCTAGATATGACAAGGCTATAGAGATAGGAACTGGGTTGCCACTTGCTTAGGGGCAGGGCAGGGGCGGATTGGGGAGAATGGGGAGGTAACAATGAGTGTGAGAAGAAAGTGTTTTGAAATTGTGGTGATGATTCCACAAATCTTCTTAATATGATTGAACGATTAAATCATATGTGAATTATATGATAATAAAACTATTAAAAGTAGTTTTAGAATTATCTCTCAGAATTGGCTAAAAGAGCTAGGAAAAGAAATCAGAGTTTTAAAAATCTGGAGTCTGGGGGTGGGGAGAGGCAGTATCAAAAAAGACCGCGCAGAACCGAGGTGGAGACTCGCAGGGTGGAGCAGGCCGGGGGCCCTGGCAGGGTCGGACTGAGGTACAGCAGCGTTAATAATACTCTTGGAGCGTTAATACTCTGGGGAGGGGCAGGCACTTAGGGGGCCCTAGGGCATGAAGGCACTTGCAGTGGGGAGGGGGCTGGGGCTGTGCAGTGGGCCTGGCTGGCACTTTGGGGAGTGCTGGGGCTGGGTAGGTTGGGCCGCGACAGCCCAGAAAGCTTTGGTAGCAGACAGCGCAGTCTCTAGGCTGGCTCTTCCTTAAATTAAAGCAGCGGCCCTAGTGCTCATCTCGAAGCTCTGAAGGCAAGAACTTGCTCTGTTGCTGCCGGATCTGGGCCAGCTTCTTCCGCGCCTCTTCCAGCTCCCCTCCGTCCGCAGCATCTCCTCTTGG